GCAGGTGTGTGCTGCTATGAACATCTCTCCAGAGCCCTTTCTGCACAGCTGGTGTCGGCATCATACTAAAAGCAATGTTTAAATCAAACTAAAGATTAAAAATTAAAATTCGTTTTTGCAATAATGACAAATGCCCTGCACCTACCCACATGTACTCGTGTCAGACGAGGCCCCTAGGTATGGCCCCCCCTTTCCCCTCCCAGGACTAGTTAATTTTGAGTAATTGTGTATTGTCAGAAAAGTGATCAGTACTAGTTTTTGTTTTGTTGTTACAAAAAAAAAAAATTTTTTTTTTTTTTTTAAAGCAAGGCATGCTTGTGATGACTCTGTAACAGACTAATTTGAATTGTTGAAGCTGCTCCCTGGTTCCACTCTGGAGAGTAATCTGGGACATCTTAGTGTTCTTTTTTTTTTTTTTTTTTTTTTTTCTTTCCTCTGTTTTTGGGGGGAGTGTGTGTGGGGTTTGTTTTTTAGTCTTGTTTTTTTAATTCATTAACCAGTGGACAGCCCTAAGGGGAGGAGGATGGATTGATTCCACATTCCACTTTTTAGATCTAGTTTAGAAAACACGTTCCCCATCTGGTGCTCTTAGGAAGGAGTATAGTAAATGCCTCATTTAATAACATACTCCTTTTTGAAAGTTGCCTTTTCTCTCCACCCTTGAGTAGATCCAGTATTTTGATGAAACTCATTCATGAAAGTGGGTGGAACCTGTCTCGCCCTTCCTCTTTTCTAGGATGCACTATATATGTGACTGTGACTTTCAAGGAAATTTGTTTGCCATTTGCTGATTTTTTTTGGAAGTTAATTTCTAACTTCTTTCACTGATAAATGAAGAAAAGTATTGCACCTTTGAAATACACCAAATGGATTGAGTTCATAATTAAAAAATGTTTTTTTCCTGTCAGTCATTGTCTTACATGCTTAGCATAGATTTACAACTCAGTAGTATATAATATGGTGTTCCTGGACCACAGCTGAAGACCTGGCATGTAGAGGGGATCCAAGGGGTGGTGCTAGAAGACAGATATCTATGGAATGATTCACATCCTCTCAGTGTTGTGAGGGTGGAGGCCTGCTTCATGAAGAAGCTGGGGTTGGGTGGGGGTGGGGAGAACACTTAACAACATGGGGACCAGTCAGGGGAATCCCCTTATTTCTGTTTTGCATATGAGGAACCCTAGAGCAGCCAGATGAGGCTCTCTAGTTTAATAAAAAATCATGGAAAGAGTCTTATAAAGACTCTTCATAAGTGTTAATAGGGATTTTATCAGCTTATTTTGGTTTCCAGTTTTTAAAAATGTTTAGGTAATCTTTTCCACCTTCCCAAAATCCTAATTCTTGTAGATTTGTTAGTGTTGAACCAATGCTTTCTCATGTCTCAATTCTTTGTATATGCATTCTTTTCAGATGTATTAAACAAACAAAAACCCTTCACAAGCCAGCCTGAGGGTTGTTATTTTCCCTCCGCCTCTTTACTCTCTGGAGTGGGAAGCTGACTCTTGATAATATCAATTTCTAATAAATTTCGGGATAAGATTTTAAAGCTTTATTATTTTAATTTCATTTCTTTAGTGGCATTCAGTTTGCAATGCTTTTTCTTCCGTAAGTTTGGCAGATAGCAGAAACTTCTCTTAAGTAGCGTAGGTAGGTCATAGGACCTTTTTTTTTCTTCTTCTTCTTTTTTTTTTTTTGAGACATACTCTTGCTTTGTTGCGGGGGCTAGAGTGCTGTGGCTTCAGTCTAGCTCACAGCAACAAACTCCTGGGTTTAAGCAATCCTCCTGACTCAGTCTCTCAGAATGCTGAGATTACAGGTGTGAGCCCCTGTGCCTAGCCCATAACAATTCTTAGTGAAGAAATATTCAACAACCTCATAGCTCATGCTGGAAGGAAATGTCAGTACACTTCTAATTCACAGATGAGTTGAAAAGCAGCTTGTTTTCTTCTAAATTTTATTCATTACTGGCTCTGAAACTTGCCTACTTAACTGCAGCTTGCATAATGAAATTTTTAAGTTTTTTAAGTATTTCTGAAATGTATCCAGGTTTGGGTTGTTATCTCAAACTAGTTCTATCAGAATATAGATTCTGTGCTGTGAATCTGAATATATGTGATACATTTTCTTTAGGTGCCAAGAATGATTTATTTCCCTTAAGGAAATAATTCCCTGATCTATATGAGAATCTTAGAAACTCAGAACCCTTAATCTAATTAAGATTGACACAGTGTAGTCTCATTTTGATAGTTGTTTACATGGAACAGTGTTTGGCATAATTCCATACTATGCTAGAATTAAGCTGGATTGGTTGGGAAGGGGTTAGGAAGAGGTAGATAAAAGGTTTACCAATTCTAAGCAATAAATGTATTTTATTTATTTCTGTTGACCCTACCAGGGGAAGTACCTGCTTCATGCTGTGATACCCTGGAAAGCAGATGTGTAGTACTGTCAGTGGCATATAGGGCCTTGATTATTGCTGTATCCCTGTCCTGGAGCAGTGTTTGACGCATGATATGGCTCTAGGGATAGTCATTGGCTGGGTATGTTACTTTAAGAATGAATAAATGGGCTCAGTGCCTGTGGCTGAAGCGGCTAAGGCGCCAGCCACATACACCTAAGGTGGCGGGTTCAAATCCCCAGCCCAGGCCCACCAAACAACAATGATGGCTGCAACCAAAAAATGGCCGGGCGTTGTGGCAGGCGCCTGTAGTCCCAGCTACTTGGGAGGCTGAGGCAGGAGACTCGCTTGAGCCCAGGAGTTGGAGGTTGCTGTGAGCTGTAATGCCATGGCACTCTACCCAGGGGGATAGCTTGAGGCTCTGTCTCAAAAAAAAAAAAAAAGAATGAATAAATGAACTAAAGCAGGTCACATGGTTATGTTGACGAATAGCCAGACATTAGAAAAATAAGGGTGACAGAAAGATTGGTTGAAGGTAATGTTTTCTTATTTAACCATTTAAATTTGACTTCTGCATTTTAGAAGAACATGAGTAGCAAATGGATGTAGTGAATGTTGTTTGTATTTAAATAATTATTTTCTGTTTGCTTAACAAACTTAATTATAGTCATGGTTTGGTAGGTGAATGGTACTGTCCAAGTGGTATGGTTTTTAGAGTTGGAAAAGGATTATGAAAAACAGTTCTTAGAAGACTTAGCTTGTGTCAAAATTTACAATATTTAGTGTAATACAGGATTGGTATGTCACTGGCACTCTGTAGTTTACTGAAGATTTTTCTAAAGATATTTCTGTAGTTTGTTAAAGCTTCATCCTTTGAGCTGGACTTTATGCCAATAGGGGAGCATATTCTAAGGGGAAAAAAAGGATTATTTGAAAGAACAATTGCAATAGTTCCTTTACCGTTAGGTATATTTATTCTTGTTTTTATACTATAATCAGATTACATCTTAAATTCGTGTACATTTACTATAGTAGTAATACTTATTTTTTCCCCTGAAAAGTCATTAAACCAATTGTTACCTTCAGAGAATAAAATAGTGGTATTTAGGTTTAGACTTTTTTCCTTTTTTTCCTCCATTTTGAGGTTATTAGGGGTTATTTGGGGGGTGGGTGGTAAGAAGCTTGAAATACCAAGGGCCCTGCTCAAAAAGCACTGAAACTTAGATTTGTACCTGCTGCATACAAATTTAGAAATTTTGTCATAGGCCGGTGCCTGTGGCTCAGTGAGAAGGGCACTGGCCCCATATAAATAGGGTGGCAGGTTCATACCTGGCCCTGGCTGAACTGCAACAAAAAAAAATAGCCAGGCGTTGTGGTGGGGGCCTGTGGTCCCAGCTGCTCGGGAGGCTGAGGCAAGAGAATCGCCTAAGCCAAAGAGCTGGAGGTTGCTGTGAGCTGTGACACCACAGCAATCTACTGAGGGCAACAAAGTGAAATTCTGTCTCTAAAAAAAAAATAATAATAAATACATAAATTTTGGTATATAACAGTACGGGGAAGGGGCAGCATTTCACTGGGGAATAGCAAGTTATTTCGAGAAGTGCTGAGCTCTTTGTGGTTAGACTGTCTCTGGATGATTATATGAGGGAAGCGGCTTTAAATCACACTCATATTTTAGCCTTCCTTTTACTTAAGTCTTACCTTGCATTCACCCAACTTCAGAGCATGGTGATTTAATCACATCAAGAGACCTTATCAATCATATTTTTTCCCCCAGGGCTGCTTTAAAGTATTACTTTGAGTCTTTTTCCCCCAAAGTGTTTCCACTTT